GAGAGAGAAGTGATCCTTGGGGCACTACTTGTTTAGGTCGGTGAAGTCGACGCACATTCCTCACTTCCCGTTAGACTTCCGCACCATGATTGGGTTGGCTAGCCACTCTGGATGGAGTACCTCTCTGATGAAACCAGCCTTAAGAAGTCTATCGAGCTCTTCTCGTATGGCCTGTTTCCGATCTGGTGCAAATCTCCGCAGTTTTTGCTTTACTGGCTTGGCATCGGGTCGCACCATGAGTTTGTGCTCAATCACCTCCCTGGGGACCCCCGGCATGTCGGACGGATACCAAGCGAATACGTCCGCATTGTCGCGGAGGAAGGTGATGAGCGCGAGTTCCTATTTCTCATTCAGTGATGCCCCAATCTTGACCGTCTTGTCGGGGTTGGCACTGCAGAGTGGGACGATTTTGATTGCGCCGTCTGGTTTCGGCGTCTTAGTCGTTTTGATCACTTTCTTGGGTGGCTCGGCTGTGGCGGGTGGGCTGGGAGTGTGCTCGACCATGTCAAGGCTCCGCTTGTTGCATTGGACCGCCAGCTTTGCGTTCCCTTGGATAGTGATTGTTCCCTTCGGGCCGGGCATCTTGAGCACCTGATACGCGTAGTGAGATGCGGCCATGAACTTCGCGAGTGCCGTTCTTCCGATGATGGTGTTGTATGCTGTGTCGATCTCAGCAACATCAAATATTATCTGCTCCGTTCGGAAGTTGCTCGCTTGGCCGAAAGTCACCGGAAGTGTGATCTTGCCCAATGGCTTGGACGAAGATTGAGGGGTGATTCCATGGAAGTGTTGATCGGTAGGTGTCAACTCGCTTCGTGGGATTCCCATTGCGTCCAAAGTGCTAGCGAAGAGAAGATTGATGGAGCTGCCGCCATCGACGAGGACTCGCGCTACCTTGATATTCCGAATAGTGGGTTCGACCACGATCGGATATCGTCCTGGTATAACAGCAGCCTTGGGGTAGTCTTCATCTAAGAACTCGATCTTCTGTTCAGACCACTTCATTTTGGGTGCAGCCCCCTGCCATGTCGAACAAACCTCACGCTCCACTTTTTTGTATTCTCGCTTTGAAGAGTACGCTGTGGGACCTCCGAAGATGTGCGAGACATGAAGATCGGAATCTGGGTACGCGGAGTCTGAGTCCTGAGTGGTTGCCTCAGTTGCCTTCTCGACTACACGTACTCGCTTGCCTTTCTCCAATGCCAGCTGCCTTTCCAACGATTTTTTGAAGATGAGGCACTCCTCCAGAGAATGTCTGTCCGACTTGTGTATGGGGCACCATATTCTCTTTGTATCACTGCCTTGTGGGTCTGGGTGTTTGGGCGGGCGCTCGTATTCAGATGCAAGGACTTCTGCTTGAGCTTTCCTATTCCCACTCTTGTCGCTTTTCTTCTTGCTTGATTCGGGTGCGTCCTTGGCTGGCTTCTTCTCTCCTCCCACCTTTGGTTTGTCGTTTTTGCGTCTCAGCGCGTCGTCTGCATGGGCACATCGATCGACAACCTCGAACAACCTTCGAGTAGTAGTGATTCGCCTTGTTGCCAAATCCTGGGTAGTATAGCAATCTCTGACACCGGTTTTGAAAGCGCGGATCACAGAGGCATCAGTGATATTGGGGATCGTATTTCTGCACTCATTAAAGCGCCGGACATAGTCCCTCAAAGATTCACCCTGATTCTGTGTTAACGCGTGTAAATCGTTTTCGATCGCGTGGCGCTTGTAAGTTCCCTGGAAGTTCGCGATGAATTGTTGCCATAAATCTGCCCATGAAGAGATCGAGTAAGGTGGGAGGTGCATCAGCCATGAACGCGCAGAACCTTTCAACGTTGTTGGCAAATAGTGCGCTAATGCGTTGTCGTCTGCCCCAGCAGCGTATAGTACCGTGGAGTAGACCTGGAGGAATTTTTCAGGGTCAGTACTTCCATCGTACTTCTCTATTGCTTCGGGTCGGAATCTCTCGGGCCATCGGACATCACGTAGAGAACGGTTGAAAGCTCTACACCCAGCGCTGGGGGCAGTGGGTTGTCGGCGATCATGTGTCCTCCATGGACGTCTATCGGATGACGAAGACAAAGATTATGATGATGATGATGATGACGATGGCTCACTCGGCTCTGGCGTGCGATTCCGAGGGCGACGTTCAGGTTCTCAAGAATTCTGTCGCCGTCCACCATTGTTGTCCTGGCGCCGGTCACCATTATCATCACCTTAATGCTGACGCCCCCGACCGTCATCGTCTGGTGTCCGCTGCTTGCGGTTATCGCGATCGCGGCGGTTGTGACGATCACGGTGATGTTGGTCCTCGTTCGAGCGGCCTCCTCGCTCCTCGTTCTCGTGACGTCGTGAAGAAACACGATGTCGGGAACGATTCTCGTTGTCTCGCGCGCGTCGTGCTTCTCGGCGGCCATTCAGATGGTCGCGGAGATCGCCGGTGCCGCGAGGTGGAGGGGTAGCTCGTGCGGGCGACGTCCGCTGCTCCGGTGGTTCACTGTCGGCACCGCCAGCTGTCGGTCGTTCCGGTTGTGCTCTGGTAGCAGCTTTCTCGAACGCGTTACTGAGATTGGCTACAGATTCCCATAGTCGTTCCGTCCATCGTGCGAGATCATCATTAAGCACAGGTCATAGGGAGCTTCTCTCAGTATTGCGTTGACGGTGCCGAGATGTTGGGCTGGCGTGGCCGTCTGATTCTCCGCCTCTGCGTTAGCCTGTGCAGACGTGCTAGTCCCACCAATGGCAAACATGTCACGTGGTGTACTGGAAGATGACGAGCCATAGTCTTCGAGCAAGTGTAGGACTGATGGTTCACGGGGATTGATGTCGATTACTCCAATGAATCGATCTGAGGTTATCGTCGCTCCTTGTTCCTTGTTTGTATCCTCGAGAGAGGTTCCTGACTGCTGGACCTTAGGAGGTGTCGTCTTCATGGCGCGGAAAAAGACCTTGCAGCTTGAGAAGTCGTGATTCTTCGTCTTGTGAATAGGACAATAGACATCACGAGTTGGAGAAGTACGCTGGATTCCACGCTCTTTGCAAGCACGGATTTCAGCTTGTACATTGAGAAAAACCCAGCAAGCTTGCAAGTTGTGCTTCCTGGACTTGTGGATATGACACCAGGACTTGGTGACCTCGGAAGTTGTCCTCCTCGGCTCGCAGTCCTTGTCAAAAGGACAAGGCTCGGCCGCACTAGGAATCTTCTCGAGCTCGTATGACGTCGATGTTCCGTTCTCCGCCACGGTGGGAGGATCCTTCGACATGGGACCGTCCGGGTTTATAACCACGGCGTTCTCGTTTCCGGTTATTGATGGACTAGCCGAGATTGGCACCGTGGTGTAAACCAGGAAGACGATTTCGCCGACTTGAGTCCACACCAGCATTGTTGAAGCAGGGATTCCTTGGATGGGGCCGGTGTCGACTCTGTTGTCGACGAAGCTCGATGTCATAGTAGTAGAACCTTGAGCACCAAGTGCTCCTACCTGGCGTGCCACTGTCGACGGTGGGTACCCGTAGACCGGATATAGAGGGTATTGGGTACGCTGGTACGAGGATCTACGTAGTATGACATCAAGGAAATAAGAGACAAAGATTATACTGGTTCAGGCCCCTTAACAGGTAATAGCCCTAATCAAGTTGATATGGGATTATATGGAAATAACCACATATTACAAAGGGAATAATAGAACTCGGTGGTACCGACGATATCGTAGTCGAGTTGATTCGACTAGATCACCCGGCGACTTGGCTCCTGTAGTCTTCAGCTTCGTAGGCTGTGGTCGTTGTGTAGGTTATGAGATTCGATCCCTTAGGTCCCTCGGGTGTCCCTTTTATATCGCAGGTCAGGCGGTCTCCAAGTAGGACTTGGAGACATCGGACCCTACACGATATAATAACGACACAGTCTTATACGGGTAGGAATCTTTCCATTGGCGGACTTCGTGATGGATTTCCTTAGCGTGTTCAGAGAACGTCCGTATATGCACCGCTATACCGTATTTCCATATAGCATACATCAAAGGGTAGAGGGTATACCTTATCCGTAACCCTAACAATTTTGTCCACATAGCTCCTCTAAATACTCCCTCCTTCCCTAAATGTTTGACGCCGTTGACTTTTTTAAACATGTTTGACCGTTCGTCTTATTCAAAAACTTTTGTGAAATGTGTAAAACTATATGTAGACGTAAAAGTATACTTAATAATAAATCAAATGATAGGAAAAGAATTAATAATTACTTCAATTTTTTGAATAAGATGAACGGTCAAATATTTTTTAAAAAATCAACGGCGTCAAATATTTTGGGATGGAGGGAGTATTTGTTTTGTCTTGAAATTATCCTTGGACCCTCTTAATATGCCATATGGCTATTTCTAGTCAATATTTCTATTAAAAAAATATCTTTTTTGCCCTTAATTTGTATACAACTATATACTAGAAAAGAGAAAGTCAACATGAATAAACAACATTACAACATTACATATGTACTTCCCATTGTTTCAACATGTGCACATGAAACTTAAGCAATTGCTATCGTATACACTTGCTGGTACATAATTTATTTTGGTTTTACATAATATACTATGTATTATCTATAAAAAATTCAAGCATGCAATTTTTCTCTTATATATGTGAATGATAAGGGGTATAAGTGTCATTTATGAAGAGAGTTGTTGGTTCAAGGATAAGTTTGAAATAAAATAAAAACTTGAAGGACTAATATGGATAGATTGAAACATCAAGGACTAAACTGAGCCTTAGGTGAAACTTGGAGGATCACTTTAGCTATTCACCCTTTAAAAAACTTAAATCAACATGGAGAAGAACAATGGCACAACACAGGAAATCTGAAGTAGTACCATTTTCCTTCAAATTCAAACATATTTAGAATTTCGGGGAAATCATCGCGTTTGAATTTGGGTGGTGGAACGATCGAGCGAACATGTGGGCCGTGGGCTCTACCATCAGGGCCCATCACCAATGGCGAAAGCCCAGCCCACTCGGCTAAACCCCAACACGCACACTTCGCTTCCTTCTCCCCCATTCCCCTTCCTCATCTCCGCCTCGCCTCCACCGGCCGTGATCTCGCCGCCGGCGCCGCCCCGCCGCCCCTGAGGCCTACTAGTAGCGACCTACAAGTACCCTGTTTTGTACCATCCTAGGAGCGAATCCTCCCCCTGCGGCAGCGGTAGCAGATCGCGATGGCCGCCTCGGCGCCTCCTCCGGCCGAGCCGCCGCCGCCGCCGGCGGCGGCGGCGGCGGCGGCGACGAATCCACCGGCTTCGACCGCGCCCACGGTCTGTATCGATCCCTCGTGCGTATTCGTCTGGCGCCCGAGTTCTGACGTGGTTGGGTGTGGGCGATGATGCAGGAGGACGGGGAGGTGGAGGAGGGTGCCACGCCACCGAGAACTTCTGCGTTGGGGACGGCGAACTGGGGTACCGCCACCCTCGTCGGCGTCTTCGCCGGGCTGCTCTACGGCGGGAGCAAGGAGGCCAGCGCCTCTGTCGTAAGTTGCTACTCTACTCTATCCGCCTCCTGCTTTCTATCATTGGCTCTGTATGATAAATTGCGTGAAATTAAAAACAATTTGAACAAATGAATGGCCACCAGATGGAAGATATGTGGTTGCATCGACTGATAACTATTTTATTGGTCTTTTGATCACAGCTCACAGATCATTTAGACCTGAAATTGTAGAGCTAGAGCAGAATTGAGAAATTTCCTTTTTATCGAAACAAGCTACCAATCTATATAACCAAGTGGGTACTAACCATTAAGGTCTCCTTTAGAACTGGGATTCTAGAATTTTGATTAAGATAATTAACCATGTCCCTATTTTGAGGTGAACATTTATATCCTTTTTTCCTGAACTCCTTACACCAAATAAAATGAAATGTCTTCAGTTACAACATTATTGTGCTGTATTTTACAGAGCAAAGACGCTGAAGTGATGTTGAAGATGGGGAGCACCACAGACAAGCGTGAGCAGTATAGATTGATGAGAGATGCAATGGAGAAAAGATTCATCCGGGTTGCCAAAGGATCGCTAGTTGGTGGTGTTCGCCTTGGGATGTTTACTGCAACTTTCTTTGGCATACAGAACCTTCTTATTGAGAAACGTGGGGTGCATGATGTATTTAATATAGCTGGAGCTGGCTCGGCTACTGCAGCTGCATTTGGACTTATATGTATGTATCTCTTCATGTCCAGTTTATACTTTTGTTTAGATGGTGGAAATTTTGGTCACCTCAAATAATTTGAAGTGAGCTTATGAAATATGTTTGTGATACTGTGAAGCCTGAATTGCATTCAAATATTCAATTACTGATTGTAATAGAATAAGAATAGCCCCAGTCATGTTTTGAAAGAAAAATGACATATTTTTGAAGAAAACGAGGTTATCATGTACCCGTAATATGTATGTAATTCAGTATAGACAATCTTGTGTCGTAAGTACTATTATTTTGGGGAAAGTCGTCTGTTGTAGTCATCTACCAGAGGTTCTGAAGGTTAGTAGGTTATATTACTTGTCTTCCTCTATAAGGTTTGCTTCCTTTATAGGCCTTCTACCGCTGTGAGCTTCTAGGTCCTAGCCATATGATACCTGAAAATCTGATTGGTGGAATAGACTTGCTAAGATATATAGCCCTACTTGGATTTTTCTGTCACCATGATGTGCTCGATTTTTTCCCCTGTACCTTGAAGGATGTAGATTAATGTAAGAAGCTCTTAAAATAGGTTCCTTGAATATCTAATAAATCCTGTTATCTTTGACTTTGGTTTTCAATCTGTGTGCTCAGAAATTATTACTACCTGTCAGGGTTAATTGTGATCTCATTGCCACATGATATGATGAGATAAATCATTGTTTTATGATATTGTTTGTATTTTAGTTCTGATTCTGCTGTGCAAATAGTTGGTTAACTTCATTAACTAAGGTAGCCCTCAGCATCCTTAGTTTATCTTAACTGATGATCGTTCATCTTCAGTGCCAGGTTCACCAATGTGGCGTGCAAGGAATGTATTGGTTGGATCAGCTCTTGGTGCTGGAGTCTGCTTTCCCCTTGGTATTACTCTACTTTCTATTCACCAATGAAAAATGGTCATTTTAGTTCACTCGAACATGCACATCACTTGATTGAATATGGTCCTGATAAGCTGAATAACTGATATTTAGTGTGTTCCCTGGTAGTACTAGATTGAATCATGTGAACTCAATCTATGCTTTAACAACTTTGAGAGTACATTTAATTGCAGGACTCTTGGACATAGTTGCATTTCATGTTGGGCAGGATGCATTTCCAAATTGGTAGTTCTTCAGCTTATATTGCCTACTGATGGATTACCATCGCTTAGCCCTGTTCATCTTCAGCGCAAGGGTGCTCGATCTTTCTATAAACTTATGAACAGTCTCAATGAGGTTTGATTGGGATTTGGGACTTGGGAATCATTTGCCAAGCCATTTGCATATAAGAAGTGCATTTAGCATTTGCATATAAGAGCTACTACTAGCACACTGTCATCAATTGCCAAGCCAACAACTTTATGCTTACACGATGACCGTGCTGTGCTGACACATTCTAGGATGCTGGTAGCTTGATTTTTTGTTCAATAAGTCAGCCTTAAGGAATTCTTTTACAGGTTGGATACAGTTGAAGCTGGCAGAGAAAGCCAATCTTGAGATGGCAAGTTCGAAACCAACAGATTTGGTGGAGGAACAAGGTAATCAAAGCGGCGTTGGTGCCGCTATAGAACGACTTGGGCGCAGCCTAAAGAAGTAAAAATTTGGACCATCGAAGGACCTTTTTTTTTTCTCATAATCTGTGTGCGTTCCTGAAGACCGCAGGAGGAACCTGTTTCATGGGCTGCACTACTTCAATTTTTTCTTCTTTCATGTGCCTCACGCTGTAGTGCTGTCAAACTTTGAAGCAGTAACAGCAAGGGCCACACGGAGCCTCCGTTGTGGGGGAAAAAAGAGCATTTTTGATAAAAATATCGTATTCGTTGGATGTGATGATGCTTGTGCCATTACAGTTTGTGCTGAATTTACCCTCGGTAATTCTTCAGTTCACGAATACTATTTTGTACGATGTATTCCTTCTCATATGATAGATCAGCCAATTCTCATGATAGAAATATGATAGAGCATAATTTAACCACAGAAATATGATCGATCAGCTAATTTTCATATAGTCAGAATAAAAGGAGCAACAAAATTATTTAAGTTTAAAATTCCAATCAACAAGTTTACAACACCAGTTTTATCAGGAACATGATTCTTGTATTTGCTGTTCCAGAAACCATCTTATAGGTTCCTACTTCGTTGCGGACTTTTGTCGTCCATCTGGAATAGCGAAAAGGACAATTGGTTTGGAAGACCGGATAAATGGAGCATCACACCTGTAATACCCTTTCCTTTCAAGCTGTATGATTTCTCCTTGTTTGAGATTCCGCATGTTTGCGTCTCCAAGAGCCGGAAACTCTTGGCAAGTGCATGGATTAAGATTGTCAAGGAAATTATCATCTTCTTCCAGCTGCAAAAATGCCACAGCAATATTTAAAATACTAGCAGATGATGCTACTCAATCATGGAAGGAAAACATCGATGGATTCATGGAAGCGAAAACTCAGAGACATCATCCAATATGTAAAGAAATTAATAAAGAAACTAAATCTCTTCTAGATCGTGCTCCAAGAACAAGTATATTGACCATTCCTTCACAAGCCTAGCTTTTCTGATACTGTGATACACTAGTATTGGGTTTCATACACTATCTATTGAAGAAGTCTAAGGTGAACATAGTCAAACTTAACAGACTAAGGGCCTCCTCTGGGATTTTGAAACATAGGAAAGTCTCAAAACTATCGTTTGATTAGCATACAGGAAAAACGCAAGAAACTTAGACACATGAAGAGAAAAACATGAGGTGAAACCTCATGCTTATTTTCCTTCAAAATTACTCTAGGAAGGTCCATTTCATAGGAATTTCAAAGGAATTGATAGGAAACAATCCTTTGTTTCAAAAGGACTAGATAGGATTATTTTCCATATGATAAAATCCTCTAAAATTCCTATGGTTTTTCCTTTGATTCAAAGAGGGCCTAATTAGGTATTAATACTACAAAATTATAGCAAAAGCAGTAGAGTACCAATTGTTCAGTACTATAAGAACTCTGTTTCTCATGTGGTATTGCATCTGTACGATACTAGCCTACTACTTAATAAAGGAACTTCAATTTAACGTGTTACCTTTTTCTTTTTGATTAGGTAGTCAAACTCTACCAACGAGAGAGATACAAGATCTTCAATATCTGGCAGCCACGTTAGCTTTAACTTTGTCATCTTAACTGACCCCTCAAGATGGAGTTCCCCAAGCAGTTCAGTTATAATTCCATTCTGTGTCTTGATTTCTTTGATGATAGCATTTCCCCAGTCCATCAGAGTAACTTCCTCACCGATGCTAATAACTGATGCATCAGCACTCTCCAACCAAATTTTGTTTGTGAAGGTTGTAGCCTTCTTTCCAGCACCTTCGTATTTCTTGTGCCTGGGTAAGACTCGGATGAATGGTTCCTCTGGACCATTAGTAAGAGTGAAAAGCACACGCTGGTCTTTCAGAACGGCAGTATGCCTTCCACACACTGGATCAATTATCTTCTTGTTGATTGTCCAGAGTTTATCCCACTCCATAAGATTTAGATTTTTAGAGGCACCCTTGAGAAATAAAAGGTCAAAGAACAAATGAATTACGAAGACACCATTAAATATAGCTATGAAATCACAAACGGTAACTCATTAGAACATTACCTGCTCAAGTATAAATTGTACCAAAGCTTCAACCTTCAAGCCACGACGTACTATGCCTTGTACAGTGGGGAAGCGTGGATCAGTCCAGTCCTCCACCTTTTTGTTTTGTACAAACCAGAGAAGCTTGCGTTTGCTAAGAACCGTGTAAACCATATTCAACCTGCTGAACTCATAGATTTCTACCCTCCTTAACCCCATTTCTTGAAGGATACGATAGTACTGTGCATTCCGATCATGGTATTCACTTGAGCGGAGAGCATGAGTCACTCCTTCCAATGCGTCGACAAATGGACAAGCAAAGTCATAAGTTGGATAGACCTTGTATTTTGAGCCAATACGATGATGGGGATCAGTGTTGCAACGGTAGTATACAGGATCTCGAAGTGATTTGTTAGGGTCCTGCATGTCAAGTTTACCCCGTACACAACACTGCATACCCCTTTCAGTTCCATTGATCATCTCTTTCCACAATGACAAATTATCCTGAACAGTATTATTTCTACATTTAGATTCCACACCATCCATTCTCTCACTCCTCATTTGCTCCTTTGGTGTATCATCAACATAAGCCTTCCCTTGCTTAATCAAATTTTCAGCCATTTCCATTAACTGCGGAAAATAATCTGATGTGTAAGTAACTATATCATATTTTATTCCCAGTGTTTCTACATCCTTCAGGACGTTCTCAACAAATTCATTGCTTTCTTTCGAAGGGTTTGTGTCATCAAATCGAACTATCAGGCGCCCTTTATATCTCTCAGCAAAGTACTTGTTCAAAAGTCCAGCCTTTGCATGACCAATGTGAAGATACCCACTAGGCTCGGGGGCAAAGCGAACGCAGACCTCCCCAACTTTTGCACCTGGGAGATCTACTTCAGGGATTGAGATATTCTGCTTTGAATCAGGTAATTTCTCTTTCAGGCTTGGTGCAGGAGACTTTCCTATCCCCCTTTTTCCAACATAAGCAGAGACAACTTCATCTAGTGTGTCTGAATAGTCTGCTATGCTGTTGAACCAGCGAACAAGGTTTTGATATTTCTTGGACCTCCTTAGACTTTCCCATCGTTGGCCTGTCCCTAAATAAAGGGGTGCCACTCCAAAGTAAGTAATATAAACATATAGAATGATAAAATATAGATTATAAAAGAAACCAGACAATTACCTGCAAGATTTGACCATACTACAATGTCAGCAATTGACAAGCCATAACTAACCAAAAAGGTTCGTGATGCTAGGTATCCATCTAGAAATGAGCAAGCAGCTTCAAATTCAGATCCTGAAAGAATGACTGGGGCGTAGTCGAGCCATTGATCAACCTAAACATGCATAATAACAGGAACTATGAATACTCAGACAATCAATAAATTCACTGAGTAGCACCAGCGATAGCAAATAGTCAACCAGAACATACATATGCTGCCTGAATAGCATCCTGACCATAGAAACTGGTAACAGATGCAACACGAGCAATGTAACGAAGAATTGTGTTAACACCGTGGATAAAATCCCTGCACAGAATCATGAAAGGTTCAGATGTTCAGTGAGAATTTTTAAACTCTAAAGGGGAAATACTGAGAAGGATAAATACTAATGGAAAAGAGGAGCAATAATTTGGCCACCAAAAATATTGTTTTGATGTTCCATGAAGACTAGAATGACATAAAGAAAAAAATAATGCTGAAGGTTGCTTTGTCAAACCCTACTATGGAATAGAATATTATGCACCGAACTTGCCATTCCAAGCACGATTCAAGATGCAGGCATGATGATGGAGCAAATTATCATAGTATAAGCCTTAAAAGAAAGGGAAAAAAAAGTAGTGGTTCGTCTCAGAGAGAAGCTACAGACTGATCAGTATCCACTTACCCAGAACCAAGGTGAAGTGTGGGTGCTGAACCCGAGGCGAGCTTCGGATCGAGGGTGAGGGAAACACCTGCGACCTTAGCAGCACAGAGGATGGCAAGTGGTGGACTATCCTGGGGGAATGCTAGTTTCGGCTCCATTCAGCTCCTTGCAAGTCCTCTCAAAGAGAGGGAACCTACAAATTAAAATGTTGTAAGCTGTACAATTTACATCAGCTAAATAAACCAGTATGCACTTACTCATCGAGTCCTTATACGAGCAATTTTAGCAAAGATATAAAATTCCAGCCTTCTAACTCAAAAATCAAAATAAATAAACATCCTTTCAAAATTACGTCATTTTCAACAAACTGAACATCTGATAAGAATGCAGTCAGCTGGGGGTTATGACAGCAACCTCTAAAGATTGGGGTTATGATAGCAACCTCAAAAGAGTACCACATGAGCAGTAGAATTTACATGTTCCCTAAAACCAAAAATAAAATTCCAGGATACTACCCAAACAAGTCGATTACTCAAAACTTGATTTGAAGCATCAGACGGTGAGCAAAACGAACTGGCCAACAGAATGCTCACTGCCCCCAAAAGCCTCGATGGAATTGGAAGGAAGCTACTACTAACTAGCAGCACGTAATCCCCGAGGGCCGCAGCACCTCATCGCATCGCATCGGGTCCGGGTCCCCTATACCCCGCGCCGCCGGCCAAAATCGCGCGAAGGCCGAAACCTCGCTTAACTAGGGGGGGCGCCCCGCAGCTTGTAAGTCGGTTGTTCCCACGGTAAAGAAGGGTCAAGGGCTCAAGGCTGAGATCAACAAAGCGACTCACAGTGGATGCCGGCGCGGCGGGCGAGGGCGACGGGGCGGGCGCGCCGCCGGCGAGGGGGAGGCAGGCAGGCGGGTCTCTCGGCCTCTCGGGGGAGGGGGAGGGAAGAGCAGAGCGCGGCTTCTAGCGAAGGAAGAGAAGGGAAGGCCCAACCAAGGGAGGGGTTAATATAAACTTGGCCGCTGCCGTGCGAATCGCAAAAGATGGTCTAATTCTGCGAGCCAGTGGTAGATCAAATGGTTTCCAACATTTTCCGTTCCAAGGGAACCTGGCATCTCCTGTTTTCCCCGCTTTTTTTCCGTCATCAATTTCCTTTTTCTCCGATTATATTCTTTCCGAACCATATATGTATACTGAAAACCTAAAAATACTATAAAAACTACTATTAGATTAAAAAAATGAACTTATCCTGAGCAAAATTTTATTACTTAGTAAAAGTTTCTCTCAGTGAAATGAACAAATATTAGATGTCCTTTTTTTTTATCAAATGTTAGTTTTTCAGGTTTTCACTATATTTATGATTTACACTGCATATTTGCATTTTTTTTAAAAAAAAACATTAGTAAAGCAGATGCGCGTACACCAACATACACTCACACCTATTTCAGACGAGCACAACATTTCCCTAATTACGTAAAGACACGCACTTTCTCAAAAGAAAATAAACATAAAGTACAGACACGCACAAACACAACTGAAATAGAATTAAATTCATGAATCTAGTAAAATTCCTACCGAAAACATATCCACTAGTGCGGCACAAAATTTCTAAACCCTGATAGATGAAGTCAGTGTTGCGCGATTTTTTAGACCAGATACAAAATATTGGCACTCAACAGGCCAAAATCAGCTCTTACAGTCACTGGCGCTCACAATTCAAGCAATACCATTGCAAACAACCAGAGCAACCATTTGAATCGCCATTCAGAAAACTAAACAAAAAATAGAAGTTTCGCACCAAGCCACCGTACAAGTTATCAGGCACCAGATTGGAAAAAGCCCATATCAAAAAAAAAAAAAAGTATCAGCGTGTACTGCATATTTGCATTGCCAATCCAGCTCGATGTTCTACAACCAGGCCAGCTAATGAATGGCAGCTACTCCATGGCACTACAAAGCATGTCGTGTGTCTGACCTATTACCAACTTACAGGGAGATTGTATCTAGCGTAATACTATATCAAATTTGATCTTTTGAGCTCCGATACGACACCACCGTCTTCTTGGCTTTTCTCATTGTACAGCACCTGTGTGTGGAAGAACACCGTCAAATTAGGCTCGGCATTTCAGGTTTTTTTTTTTTTTTTTGCGATCATTCTAGAAATTTTACCTTGTCAATGATCCCATAATCCACAGCTTCACTTGGACTGAAATATTTGGGCCGTTTGATGTCCTGAGCAATCTCTTCTACTGATTTACCGATATGCCTTGACAGCAGCTTAATCTGACATAAAAGTGAATTCATACAGTACATTATAGGTTGAATTGTAAACAGCCTACTGAAATAGACTGCCTGCCCCTTCAGTTCATGGGTAGCTAGTGCAAAATATGAATGTAGCATGGCTGAAAATAACGCAAGGGAAACCTAGTTCGTATCAAATCTAATGCAATGCAACTAAATTTTCACCAACATCAGTTCCAAGTTCCAACAAGAAGTTTGTATCCCTATAAGATCTTGGCTTCAGATAAATTGTGTGTAGCCATTCTTAAGGTGGGTTGCTGCAAATAACTAAAATAAGTATATTGTCTTTTATCATTTCCAAGGCACGCAAATGCTGCCCCAAAATATAACAAAGAGCTTCACTTTCAAATCACTGTATCCACCTAATTTTCAGGACATCGGGATCCTGGCAGTGATTATATGAAGACAGAAACTATTGTTCAGTTGCCATTCACTCCCTAAGACAGGAGGCCAAATTTTCTATTGCTCACTTCTGGTAAGATTATAAATGTGCCTAGGTAGTATTGTTAATATGGATAACAGATAATCTATACTTCCTCTTAAAAGACTGCATTGGTGGTGGTGACAGCGAAACTGCCACCTCACTTCTTCCCGCTGCAGTTCTCATAAATTACCGTCCTGATACTTTTTTAGAATTACAGAACCAAAATAAATAGGTTGCAAGTACTTGGCATATATATGATCAAGGTCAGCATTCCCTTATCCTACCAAAATATAAGGGATTTGGCCCGTGAGTTACATGAGCAAAATCCCTTATATTTTTGGGACAGAGGTAGTAACAAACAAGCGGATAACATATTTCATGCAAAAACATATTTTATTTATTTTAGGAATTATTATGACATATTTTCTTTTATGCCTAGGTGTAGCACAGCACATGCATTTAGCTATTCAATGTATAATTTTGTTTACCTGATAATTCAGGTAAGTTAAGAACTCTAACGTTCTTGTCTTGCGGCAATGTTCGATTGAAAAGCACCAGTTATGAACTAGCGAAATTGTTATGACTGATAAGACATGAACATGTTAAATATTGATTTAGTTTGAAATTAAGCTGAAATTATCAGTTCTTTCTTCCAGAATGGATAGGAAAAAATAGGATAGGCTATCCTTGGAAAAAATACCATTTCTATTTTCACATTTCGGATTTCTTTTCTTGCTATGTCAACATCTGTCGCCTGTCCTTGAAAGCGACCAATTGGCTGCACATTAAAGGTCAGAAGAATAAGATCATTATCCTCGTATTTCTTGGAAGCAAAGACTACTGATACTGTACAGAATTGCATGTTCACAAAATAAGTATATCCAAGTGTGCACCACAATCGAAGAGCAAGAATGTGACACATTCTGCTACAGTGTCTTATTAGTGGTGTGTGATAGACATAGACTTGTCCAAGGTAGAAACTAAACTGCTCTCTATTAATTGATGGAAAAGAAAATGACCTGCTTTATCATTATCGTCGACGATGGAAGCGCAGCACGGTTACCTTTAGCACCAGCAGCCAAGAGTAAAGCAGCTTCTCCCCATGCATTGCCAACACACAAGGTGAAAATTGGAACTTTGACATACCTGTATTTAGTGAAAACATGAGACAGAATTCCAGAAATTTTACTACAATCGCTAGGTTGCATGAGCATATTTCGTAAAACAACAAGTACAGACATTGAAGAATGAATTTTTGGATGACAATAACAGCATGTATTGGCAACGGCTATAACCACTACAATCTTCCAAAGACTAGTAACCCAAGTACAACTAGTAGAAGTTAAAAGGTGAATGGAAAGAACTAATGGAGAGTTGGAGACCATAAGCTAAACAGATTTTATTCTATTCTGCAACTAAATTATGTGTAGCACGAAAAAAAATTCCTGGTAAATGAAACCTTGAGTCTACTGCTTGTATAAATTTACAGTATTTGAAGCTGGTAGTAGGATATAATCACTATATGTCAACACAAATTGGGAATAAGGTATTATAGTAGTTGGTCAAGTATTGTAGTATTTGATCACCAGTATTTCAAATGGTAAATACAAAAGATGGCGGTCAGATGGAAATAGCTAACTGGTGGGCTGGTGGCTGTGGCTCATGTTGGGGAGAGATTACTGCGGTCTTGCGCTGAGCAGCAGGGAGCTGATTCCTCTATTCTGGGTCACATAGGGTGTGTTTGGTTGCTACACTGGTGGAGATTGGCCTGGCCTGCAGTGAGCCTGAGCAATACACAGCTGTATTTGGTTGTTTCCCTAAAGAGTTGTCTGACTCAGGCCACCAAAAATATAGCCTCTGGTACAGTGCACACTGTTACACTAGACATAGATCCACCCTTCTGATAACACGGATAGAACTAGAATTTTATGAGGGAGAATCATATGAGACATATTTATGTGTCTTTGAGTTCCATGTGAGGTATATCCTGTGTGTCTTTATATCTTGGATCGTGCTTTCCACCATATAGTGCAGTCCACTGAATTTCTCCATCTGGCTAAGGTTATAGACCAATTTGATTCGAACTTCCTATACAGTAAAAGAGCTGCTCATAAGGAACTACTAGTATGAAAGTTGACATTAGAGAACAGCATCAAGAAACAAGAGGAAAATCATTTGGAGAGGAAGCAGGAAGATCAATAGCTTTGAGAGAAAGTGGTGCATGTGTAGGAAATCACCTCATAGCATCATATATTGCAAAAGCTTCTGTCTCATAGCCCAATTTCTCGCCATTCTAAGTAAGAAGGGAGAGAAATATATCAGAAAATTTTATGCTGAAAACAGAACAACAATAATTCTGATTGAAGAAAACATTGTAGACTGTTAAGATGATGTGCTACTGGAAAAGGTGATAGGCATAAACCGGAATTGCATTTTCTAGCCCAATAAAAACTTTTGAGTTCCTGCCTCACTTGCTAATCACTTCAAAGATGTATAAACTGCACATTATCTGAATCATTTGGCAAAGTAAAAGAATCTGAACAGATCATTGAAAATTGTGGGGGGCAGAGACCTTCATGATCCACAAGCTACCCTAGATTGAGACGCGCGTGCCCGTTCACTAATCAACCAAGCCTAGTGGAAATCGTATAACCAAAATTGAATCAAATGCAGCAAACCTTGGTTGTGCCGGTGGAGTTGATGTAGAGGTAGATGGGCTTCTCGGCGTCGTCGTACTGGAGGTAGAGGAACTCGGCGAGCATGAGCTCCGTCACCGACGGCACGAGGCACATCCCGAGGTAGACGATCCTGTTCTTGTACAGGAACGAGGCCAGGTCCGGCGGCGGCTGCTGCCACGCGGTCCCCCTCAGGAACGGCACCACCTGCAACGCAACAAGCATCCCAACCAAATGAGACGCCATTTCAGTCCACGCAGCCAGGTAGTGTGTAGCAGGTGAAAGGCAAAGCCCGTACCATCGCGACGACGTCCCTGGCGCCGCCGCCGCCGCAGCCTCCTGGCGCCGCGGGGTCCGGGCGGGGCGGCGCCAAGAACCGCTGCTTGGTGGCCGCCACCGCCGCGGTGGTGGGGGCGGAAGCGGAGAGAGCGCGGGGGCGGGCGGCGAGGCGGAGGTGGGGGGAGGGCGAGGCGGGGAGGGTAGCGAACATGGCGCGGGCGTCGGGGGAGACGCGGGGAGGGGAGAAGGCGGCGGCCGCCTCCATGGCTGAGGCAGTCCGGGGGGCAGAGCGAGCGAGCGAGCGAAGCTGGGTGAGTGGATGCGGCCTCCGAGAGCGGATAAGCGGAGGCGGAACGAAGAGGCCTACGCCGTTGACGGCTAGGACGTGGGTTCATCTGGACCGTCCCTGTGCCAGTGTTGGTCAATCGTCACATGTCAGTTCTGTAAGAAAAAAAAATAATCCGATCCATATGCCACTAATTTTTTTCCGATCTTAAAATAAATTTGAACACATCCGTTATAATTTCACGGTTATGAGATATATGTTATTGCTTAGCCATTTTGTTTGCTTTTTTTATATATAATTGCATTTATTTTCTTTCTTCTTTCCCTTCTATTTCTCGATTTTTCCTGTTCATATTCTCCAGCACTGTATGTGGAAGGATAGCTCGGCACGATGGGCTAACACTTTGGAGCGGCGCAGCTAAGGGAAGTGCCAATGGAGGTTGGGGGCTAGCGAGGTGGAGCACCGGTAGAGGTGGGGCTCTATTTAGGTTGACTTTAGCACGACGAAATGGATGGGCTCTAGGGAGCTTGGGACTTACCGAGCATTGCCTCGGTGAGGCGTAGCAGCAATTCCGTTGATGAGCTCTATTGGGGCACTTGTCACCTAATGCTATGTTGTGTGCACCCTCATTTTCTATAAAAGGACGTCGCCATACACACTACACCCTCTCTTTAGCTAATTTATCCCAATAAGCTTTCAGACCTACTACTGATACTGCATTCTTCCATGGAAGAATACAATAGACAAACCATCTTAATTGGGAGTTAATCCACACGAAAGGTGATGTATACTCTGGTTATTGTATTTGATCAACTCCTTTTGCTCTACGCATGATCTATTTTCTTATTATATTTTTTTTGCTTTGTACACAATGTAATATTAAGGATAAGCAGTCAGAAACGGGAGAAGAACACATCGTTGAGAGAAATGATATGTTCGCTCAGACGGCAACAATAAACGCCACAAGACCAAGACATGCAAGACGGAGTGAAAATGAATATTTTTCATTAGTTGTCCATCGTACATGCTTTGCTACATCTAATCGATCCTAGAGGGAAGGAAGTGATGAAGGCAACCTGCTTTCTTTCTACTCCGTTTCCATCACCATCGGATGGGGTCAGAGCAAGGATAGATTCCCATCCGCGAACAACTCAACATCATGCAACAACCACCATAGCAGCCGATGGCAATAACAATGATGGCGTCTTTTGACATTGTTATGGAGTTATTTTAATGCCTAGATGGTCCTAAGTCAGAATCGCTGAGCATACGCGTGGCGTCTCCCCCCCATTCGAAGCTTGCATAAATCAAACAGGGCCGGCTCTACATTTTTTAGGGCCCTAGATCAACTCCATGACATGGGCCCTTAGGCATACGCTCTCTCTATATATACACATATGCACTTTGGATTTTTAAAGTATACTTTTAAAGCATTCATCCGCTAATCATGCTGAAAATAAATATTGATAATATCCTCTATATATGTTGCTAAAAATACAAAAAGAGCAGTAAAATAGAATTACTATGGTTACCTTAAATTATTGACTAAGGATTCTTGACTAAGGATCAAGCTCCAGGGACTTCATTAATAATACTTGACAAAAGAAAAGATGACATACATCCATTTGCATCTCTTAAAAAAAATACTCGTTCGGGTATTTCTTGATGCAAAATCATTAATACGGTATCGATATCAATATTGTCCAAGACATTCTTCTCAATGCATGCACATAGCCAAGCCATTTAATCTTTCTTGTAACATTGCAAACCTAAACGTACAGAGGAAACTGATCTTTAGTATTTACTAATGACTAATTAGTTACTTCAGTAGTTCAATTCAATGGACAATATGGTTGCAGCACGGCAGCACGATAGTACATATAAATTGAAACCCGCAGACACTCTGGAAGTTGAGGCAGATATTCATGTTGTGTCGGCCGGTCGATGGCGAACAGACAAAGCTGTGAAGGGCTGAATGCTGCAGGGATCGGCGGCGGCCCGGCGTGCGGCGGACTTGCGGAGGCGCCGTAGAGGGCGCTGGAGGCGGATTGGCGGAGACTGCCACCGGTAGAGGAGAGGAGACGAGAAAACAGAAGTTTGGAACTCGGACGGTCGCGTATAAGTGGCGCTTATGCGGGCAGCGATTCAATCAGAAACTTGTATACGTCCATATGGTATAACTAATACATACCAAGGTCTGGGCCTCTACTTTTCCTGGGCCCTAGGCCATCGCACTTCTTGCCGGAGCCCAGAGCCGGCTCTGAAATCAAATAAGCTATCATCATGTTCATCCCTACCGGACACATTTTGTTAGATTGAGTCTTTTCTTTCTTCTTCATCTATCACCAGAGGATGGTCTCTAAGTCAATGTGACGTGCAATCCTTCTCAGGTTGGTGTGCGTCAAGCAAGTCGTGCCGCTAGACGCCGTGGCGTTGCCTGGTCTCCAACTTAAAAAGGATACAAGGAGGATGTTGAAGGAAGATGTGGATATTTATATCCAATACAAGTAAAAATACATAGGTTTATGATATGTTTCAAATCATACGCGAATTATAATAGTGTTGATCCAAATAAACAAATTATAATAGCAAATTTTAAAAAGTTAAATTAACTCTATCATATGCTATACTTTGACTATTAATTGTAAAAAAAATAAAAAAAAGATTAATAATGTAAAATTGATGTTACTAGATTTATTATTAAACAAACTATCATAATATATAATTTTTTTTATTTAAAACATTTTACTTTTATAAATATCGTTGATCAAAATAGTATCTCAGACTCCGTGTTAAAAATCTAAAAATGCGCTCTATTGCCCCAAAGGCGCAACTGAGTCCCTTGTACGCGTGATAAGATGCCAACTCGATCAGCCTGGAAAGTGGAAACCTCGGTTGCTGCCGTCCGATCGGACGCACCACGCATCCTAGCCGTCCACGCCAAAGCCCCTGGGTTTTCTTTTCTCCCTTCCTCTCCTCCCCCTCCTCTTCTCCTCCGCCGCATCAGCAATCTCTCTTTCTACTAGGGTCTCTTCTACCAGCGATTCTTCCCCTCCCACCGTCCAAGCAGGGCCGGCGAGATGTCCTCCCCCGACGAGGACCCGCCGACGGAGCCCGAGCGGTGGAGGGATCTGGACATGCTCCTCTCCCGCCCCGGCAACCTCGTCCACGCCGACTTCAACCCCAGCCCCGGGGTCAGCCACCTCTCTCTCTTTGTCTGTGTGTGTTTCTTGCGTTTGTCCTGAGATGAAGATCGTTGTGCCCTGTGCGTCGCAGCTGCGGGACTCGCTGGGGAGCCTCGTGGAGGTGCTGGTGGTGGGCGCGGGCGGGCTGGGGTGCGAGCTCCTCAAGGACCTGGCGCTCTCCGGATTCAAGAACATCCACGTCATCGACATGGACACCATCGACGTCTCCAACCTCAACCGCCAGTTCCTCTTCAGGTTTTTTTTACTCTCCTTCCTTCCACACGCCCACCTAATTGTGCCCCCCCTCCCCCCCACTGTTGTGCGATGCCATCAGATTGTTGCGCCGTGAGGGAAAAACATAGGGATAGATTGTCAGGTTTCGATGCCGTGTTCAAATGCCAAGAGCCGGGCACCTATGAGCGTCGACTGAAAAGATTCATTTACATTCACTGGGAGTGCATAATATCCACGGAGAATGGGCGAATAGGATTAAGAGTGTTATGCCTATTTGTTCAGTTGAATGCAATTGAGGTGGTTTTCCCTTTGTTAATTCAGTTGCTTACCAGCTCTGAGTTCACGGAGTAGAATAAGCCTTAGATAAAGTTAAGTTAAGCGATGGTGACAACCCGCACGCATATTTCCTAATAAAAGGGACGGTAATGGTAGATAACTACAGAAAGCCTATTTCGAGTTTTCAAAGCCAATACCTGAATGGAAAGCAAAAAAAAAAAGTCCCATGTTTTGGCTTCTCTCATAGCCAAGTTCAAGTTTCAGTGTGGTGCAGCATTCACGTTTGTTTGTCTGTTTTGACGTTTCATGTTTGTATTTGTGTTTTTTATTATTATCTTATTCATCTCGATAAGTGCTACATGTACTCTCTTACAGGGTTCAAGATGTTGGGAAGTCCAAGGCTGAAGTTGCTGCAAAGAGGGTTATGGAGCGAGTTAGTGGAGTGAACATTGTTCCACATTTCTGTAGGATTGAAGATAAAGAGATAGAGTTCTACAGTCAATTCTCGATAATTGTTCTTGGTCTAGATTCAATTGAAGCTCGAAGCTATATCAATTCCGTGGCGTGTGGTTTCTTAGGTACATATTTCCTTAGCCGTTCTTTCTTTATCTTTTCTCCTGCATGGGAATTGGAAACAGACATTTAATCTAGCATACGTCTTGAGTTCTACAACATCTTCATCTCTCCTCTTTCAGTATAAAACTTTTGACATTAAATTATAAAGTGATGTGATAACCTACACACATGCCACAGATAGCTTCAGGATTAAAACCGATGAAAAACCATTCGTGACGAATTGGAGTAACCTTGTAAATATGATACTGTGCAGACAAAAGTCATGGTTATATAAATCCAAATTAGTGCGCAGATAATTTTTACTCATCATTGTCTATGAAGTTTGCTTATATTTCTGATTCTCAATTGTCCATAGCTTACTACTCCCTTCGGTCTCAAATACATTTCGTTTTGGACATGCATGTAGTAAAGTTTTTAGAACTTTGGGTATCAATATTGTCTCAAGTATTTAGATTGAACATATGAAAATCATACATGTAGATTTGTATCAAAAAATATTTTCACAATAGTATACTTTAAGAGATTAATGGGTTTTCCAAAATAAATTAGTGATCTGAATTGCATCTAGGAGACAATGGTGATGCCCAAACAGAGGTATATTGTTATTCACTATGTACTGTACCAAACTCAGTATATTCAGTGCAGTGCTATAGTGCTAATATGTAATTGCAATTGCAGAGTATGACTCAGATGACAAGCCAATCCCTGAGACGCTTAAACCTATGGTCGATGGTGGGACTGAAGGTTTCAAAGGTCATGCTAGAGTCATCATACCTGGGACAACACCTTGTTTTGAATGCAACATATGGCTTTTCCCTCCCCAGGTCAAATTTCCCTTATGTACACTTGCTGAGACTCCGAGAACTGCAGCTCATTGCATTGAATATGCTCATTTGATCAAATGGAATGAGGTACTGTTCTAGTTTCTGTATAATTGCTCTTTGAACTCCTCCCCCCCCCCCCCCCCCCCCAATAATTAAAGTCACTCTTGTAGGTTCATCCTGGGAAACCTTTTGATGCTGATGATGCAGAACATATGCAGTGGATTTACTCAGAGGTTTGCTTTACTTCATGACATGGAATTTATTTTATCTCTGGTTTCTCTCTAATCTTTTTCCTCATTGTAATACAGGCTTTAAAGAGAGCAGAACTTTTTGGTATTTCTGGAGTTACATATTCGTTTACCCAGGTGTCTCTCTAATCTTGTGCCTTCTCTGCTAGTGATTTAATGCGAATCTTGTACTCTGGTAATAATGCATGAGTCCTATAATCACACCAACTTCAACCTTTTTTTTGGGAAATTCTTTAAGATTGACTGAGATGATAAACGATCCAACATTGGTTAAAGAAAATGTTAGACTCAACAGTATGTGAATAGCATTCTCTCTGCACAACAAGTTGACTCTCATGGTGATTCGATCTTACTACAAATAAATAAAAGCATGTTCAATATTTGGTCCTTGTGCTAAATGGGGTATTAATTTTGGTTGTGGTCCATTTTGTCAGTTTTCATCGAAATTTATGCCAGCCATTTCTGCTTCTTGATTTGAGTGGATGACTAAGATCATCTTACCATTAGTTGATATGCCGTGTAATTATTGGAAAGTCATGGTTGTTAATTTGATGGGATGTGACATATGTACCACTGTGTATTTTCATGAATTACAGGGTGTTGTCAAGAATATCATCCCAGCCATTGCTTCAACAAATGCAATTGTTTCTGCTGCATGTGCGTTGGAAGCTCTTAAGCTTATCTCTGGGTGCAGCAAAACTGTGTCGAATTATCTCACGTGAGTTCACTACTTTTCTGAGTCTTATTTTAAATTTTGGTTTCGACTTGGAATATTTATTTATCCCCAAGATTGTTTAACTATAATTAACAAGCACATCTGAAGCGATTGATTTCTTGACCAGGTTAGAAACACTTAACATGGTTCTGTTTGAAGTGCATTATTTTTCTTTGACTATCTGCAGGTATAACGGCCTTGATGGAACACACATTAATGTAAGCGAATTTGCAAGAGAGAAAGACTGCCTTGTATGTGGACCTGGTACCCTTATTGAACTTGGGACATCGACTACCCTCTCAGAGGTCAGTAATACACTCAATACCTTGTAACTATGTTGAGAATTTCTGATGTCATGAACACGTTTCCTTGCTAGACTCACTTTGCTAGCTTAGCCACATAATCACACTAGTATGTGACGTACTTCAGCTGTTAATGGCAGTCTGAACCTCTGAGGTAGAGCTGTTATAGTAATCATTATCTAGCTCACCTGTGACCTGTCTACATATGCATTAATACAGCCATCATATGGCAATCACTTATATGGAGACTCCAAACCATTGTCATCTAAAGTTGTTGTTTACAAAGTTTAAACAGCATGCTATGCTTGCATTCACATCGTGCTTTTCTAAACTGTTGAATTCCTTTTCCTGTTTTGGACAAGCAAAGACAAACATTTTTTTTTGCCCATATTCTGCATACCTGTTACATTTCGTGTATAATCCTAAGTATCTTGTAGATTTCTAACACTTCCCCTGATAAACAGTTCATCAAGATGCTTGAAGAGCACCCCAAGCTGCTAATGTCGAGGGCTAGCGTAACACACGAAGGCGATAACCTCTACATGCAGGCACCTGAAGTCCTAGAGCAGATGACGCGACCAAACCTGGGTGTCCCAATGTTTGAGCTACTCAAAGGAGCTGCACGCACGACTGTGCATGTAACTGGAATGGCAGAAAACAACGGGAAGAAAGTATCCTCTCTGAGGAAGCTGCGTGTTACTTTCAAGGGCGTCGAGGAATCTTCGAAAATGGATGAGAGTTCTTGATACTAGTTTATAGCTATGGCTTTCAAGAACTGAGAATTAACCAATTGTACCGGGGGGACCGAAGTGCTTAGAGATAAAATGCACACCACATTCAAAACTGTTTATTTGTTTAAATGAAATTGGCTAAAAAAAGAGAAAATGACATGTATACATTCTCACAAGCAATTCACAAGTCCGGACGCGACTCCCAGTTGGGTGCCCGGGAGGGGGTCAAATCGGTGCTGACGTCAGCATGATGTCAGCGTCACGCATATGTGTAAAACCACTTTAAACTATTTTTTTTCTCTTAAATTACTTATCCAAATCATGATTCGATTGCACCATTAAATTCGTTGCAATTAAATCTTTAAAACAAGACACATATGGATATATTCCGACGAATTTTTTTAGCTTATTATTGAATTATTTTTAAATGTTGCACGATATTCTACCAAGTATATCGAAATTGTTTTACTAAGTAAATCAACAATATTTCAATCGTTTAAATCGGACGATGTTTCACCTTATATAAAAACAATGTTTCAGCAAATAGCGAGAGAATGTTTCAATTCACTGCAACATTTAATCCATACATAGTGAAACATTATAAGTACACTAGGTGAAACATTTTTGGTGGAACAAAAAATGAAATAAATTCCTTTCATAGAGGGTTTCCAAAATATGTTGGTGACATAGAGGGTTTACAAAATATGTTGGTGATTTGTTGCAAAAGAATATTTTAATCCACTGTAACATTAGATCTCTATATATAGTGAAACATTGTAGATACACTAGGTGAAACATTTTTTATGGAATAAGGGGAGGGACAGATTGGTGGGCCCAGCGGGGGTGCGCGCGTGGGGAGGGGGAGCGACCGATTTTCCCCCTCCCCCGATTGACCGATCCTAAGAATTTTCGCTCACATTCTGAAGAAAGCAATTCACATTCAGGGATAACCAAGAAGTGCTTAGAGATAAAATACACACATTCAAAACTGACTGTTTGTTTAAATGAAATTAGCTAAAAAAAAGAGAAAAATGACATTATATATATATATATATATATATATATATATACACACACACACAAAGCAATTGACAATCTCACATCCTGGAGAAAGCAATTCACATTACAGCAGTAACCAAGCTATCTGAGGGACAGCGGTTCGGGCTGGGGCTGGAGGCTCGCGCGGCACATCAACCGGACTTCCTCGCGGTGGCGGTGGCGGTACGTCTTCCTCCGCAGTGGAACAAATAGATTAGCCTTAATAAATCTCGAATTTTAGGGGCAGCGGTTTGGGCTGGGGCAGGAAGAATTTGAGGGGCAGCGGTTCGGGCTGGGGCACATCTTCCTGCGCAGTGGAACTAAAAGATAATCCTTACAAAGTAAATCTCAATTACTCGATAAAGATATTATCTATTAAAGCAGATTAATTGACAAGATAAAAAAAGGTAAAAGGAACATATTCCTGCGCAGCTGAACTAAAAGATAATCCTTACAAAGTAAATCTCAATTACTCGATAAAGATATTATCTATTAAAGCAGATTAGTTGACAAGATACAAAAGATAAAAGGAAAATATAGAAAACTCCAAAATTCATCCGACTCTTTATCTCTTACTCTCTCCCTATTCTAATTCCTCCAACTCTTTCTCCCTTACCCTCTCCATATTCTAATGTACATACGCCCTCCATCCCAAAATATAAGACACAACCACTTTTCTTCCATGTCTCATAATATAAGATGTGCATGCATGCATAGATTAACTAGCACCTCTTGGTTCAATAGAATTGATTTGTTTTAAATCCTATACCATCAAACCTCTCAATCACCTTGCTTTCATGCATCGAGGTGATCCAAACCAAGAATATGATTAAATATTTTCTTGGTCTTTGTGTTATGAGTGGTTGAGCCTTATATTTTGGGATGGAGGGAGTAAAAGATACAATAGAGCCTCTTATAATTCAGCTTATGCTTGGTGTGTTGTGAATGAAGGAGGAGAGAGGTATTTATAGGCCAAGAAGTGCCTTGGAAATGTGGAGATGCTCAAGCATCCAATGAGCATATTCCTTCTTGCTTCACCTCCTTGTGCCAAGTGTCATTTGATGGTTTCTTCAGGTAGAAACAGTCACAACTGCCTTGGGTGATAACTACTAGCTTGTGAAGTTTCTGGGCTAGCTGGGTTGGGGTTCGGCCGAACCCTGGTTGGCCTCCCTGGCCTAGGCCTTTCTCCTGGGCCTTGGCAAAGGAGTCCTTAGCCCATTGGTATGATGGTTGGGCCTATTTTCTGGTATTTCGATGAGTTTGTGGGCCCGAGACTCCATAGTCTTGGATATGAACGTAATTCTCTCTTCCTTATGTATATTTCTTTTCACTTTGGTAGTTTATCACCTTCATTCAAATATACACCAACACTTATGAAAATTGTTAGAAATAAACCCTACCACTATGTTGGATGTTTTATATTTTTAAATTTATGCAGGTATCGAAGGCTTAAATTTGGTATTTAACCGTCGTCAACAAGGAGCACAGTAGGTCCCAATGCACTTTACTATAGCTCTATGTCGTCAGAGGATCCCTCGGAGGAGCAACTCGAGGTCGCCGGCGCAGAGCATATCCCGGCCGTCGCTGACGATGACCACGAGCAGGACAAGGAGGAGGACGACGACGATGACCTCGCCCTCCCCCTCGACCCCAACTATGAAGCGCCTCCGCCAGCATGCTAGTTCCTTGTTGTGGCTAGCGGCGTGGCTTTCACCGCAGCCGTTCTCGTGACATTATTCACCAACATCCTACACCCTTCCGCTGATTTCTTCCTCCCTTCCGGTGATCTCCTCCCCCTCCAGGACCTCGTGGTGGCACTTCCACCAGCGTGTGGCTCCCGGTGCCACCTATGGCTCTATTGCCCCGTGCACCAACACCATTGCTCCCTCCAGCTTCATCAGCGCCTGCTACTGGTATTGCCTCTTTATTTTGCCTGTTTTATTCACTTTGCATTGCAAAATCTCTCGTTTTGCATGTTTCTAAAATCGGATTGTGTCAATTCTTTCTTTCGGCTCTCTTTGCAGGCAATGTTCGAGGGGCAACGGTCCGGGCTAGGGCTGGAAGCTCCCGGCGGTACATCAACGACGGATCAGCGCCTGCGGAGGAAGAGGTTGGTGAGGCACGCGCTCGTCCAAGGAGACGGTTGTGCTTGGGCTCACCCTCCTCAGGGACATGCTCGTGTCGGATTCGTACAAGTGTACAACGCGTGGCGGAACCTGTGCGTGTGGCTCGCATACTTCGAGGGTTTGTTGCTTCCGCTTCTCCATTTCATTTGTACGTACTTTCTCTGTTTTACAATGTAAGACTTTCTAGCATTGCCCATATTTATATAGATATTAATGAATCTAGGCATATATATGTATCTAGATTCATTAACTTCTAAATATATGAGCAATACTAGAAAGTCTTACAATTTGAAACGGAGGGAGTACGTACTAGCAAAATGACCCGTACGATCCTTATACTGCATGTTTGATCCTACGGTGATGGTTGACATTTTTTTGCTAACCATATGATTACATAATCTTACTGTAGCACACAACAGAAAGAATTTAAGCCCTTTGACTTAAATCGTGGGTCTGGAGCACGTCCATTCACATGTTCGACCATCTCTTACTTCTCAATAAACATATGCTATTATCTCTCTCGCACACACGCATCCCAAAAGCCCCAAATGGTATATGCAACTCTACAAGCCTGACCATTGCTCACAGGATGCATCTTCACTACTTGCATCTTCGGAGTTGTACGGCGCGTGGCGAAACCCGTGCGTGTGCCTCGCGTACGTCGCATGGGTCTATTGCTTTCGCCTTAATTATTTGTATGTATGAGAAGAGAACTTTACAGTATTAACCGTTGATTGATTGTAAACATTTAGCAGTAAGCATAACCTTCTTCAGAGAAATACAGAATTACTACATTTCTGCAGGGAAATACTAGAATGCAAGTATGCAATGTAACATAATATCCATTCCACACACTCATCTTCTATAGCACATAGCCGTAGGCAGAGGTAGCCACAGATTCCTAGTTTGAATTGGAGGGATCAACGTCCGCCTTGAGTATACTGAGGTCGCCGCCTTCTTTGCTGGCAAGACTTGCAGCCTTCTTCTCGTTGCACTGGTTGATGAATTTTGTGAGTTCCTGGGAAGAAGAGAACATCAAATGAGTTCACTGGTTACTAAATATCTTAAATATCTCAAATAAGAAAAAAACGTAATCACAAAGTTAATAACAATAAGATCAGAAGGTCTAGTCTGCTTTCAATTATTCCAAACTCTAATGTCACCATTTGACAAACAGACATGGCGCCAAAAGTGGTCGTTTATTAGTATCATAGAGAATGCCAAACCTACTGAAATCTGCAACACCAAAATAGTCTAATAAAATTTGATCCTCGATAACTTCGGACACGATTGCCCGTGCAAAAACCACACCGCAAGTCAAGGTAAAACATTGCCAAATATTTCCCAAACATCTACATAGTTCACAAACACAACTTATCCTGTAAATCAAAATACAACAAGAAGCAATGTAAAACTGGTTTTTCAGATCAAACCGTAGAACATCAACAACAACTACACGGTCATGCAATTGAGTTACCAATCTTGTTATAACAAGAAAGTGGAATAGAAAACTGAGGCAGCATTCCTCACAATTCGGAATATTACAAAAACATACCGAGCTAGAAAACTATAGTCTACAAAGAATGTATCGTAGTCCCAAGTATGATGTAACTTATCAATGGCCATAACATGTTGACTACAGGCTACAGCTATGCCAGTTTAGTTACCATATTACCGAGCCATAGAAAACTGTTAATATCATACTAAACAGACCTATCATTGCAAGTACTGGCAGAAAAACCATGGATTAAACTACAGCTTGGCATATCTATAGGACTACTGAATACTGATGCTGTGTCTGTCAACCAGTAAAAATAGATTTTAAATCCATCCCTAGGTTTAACATACGGTAGATGATTGGCAAGCACCCAAACAACCAATACAAACAGATCAACCACTGTAAATGGAACGACAGTAATGGCATTAGCGGACATATTCAGCAACAGCCAGCCAAAAAATCAGCAATGCTGTCGGACTCTCTCTGCAATTGCCTCTGGAGTCAAACTTATCATAAATTCATATATTTATACGGTAATATTAACATCAGTTTTTGCATTTTGTACAGTTCCCAGCCATAGGCCATGAATCATGGAGCATGACCTCAGCACCCAGTTACCCTAAAAGGGCCTCACCAGAACAATGTTGAAGTCAACCACATGAGATTTACATGTATTAGCCTAATATGGGCACCCATATTGAAATGCAACACAAATCAGGCGCTAAAAGACAAATCCCAGCTGCTAATCAAAGCAATTTAGCCTTTACCTTTACCCCTCTAACCATACTAACCATATGTCCATACACCTCTCAATTATTATTTCCATGGCTCCTCAACTTATGAAGAAACATATTACTACATATGTAACCTATGTTGAAAAGAACTATCACTGGATATTAGTTCCGACAAAATCATTAACTTTGATCTTATTGGTACTAGTAGAGAATCCGTAATCAATAGGCATGTAACTCTCTTTTGGAGTAGTAAAAGAATATTGCTATGTTATTTTGGAGCACATTAACGAACACACAACTTTCCATCTTATATCACTCAAAAACAGAACATATTTGGTTTGCATGTATCACTAGTTTAATTCATGTTTGTTTCTTGCCTACTTCAGAGCTCAGAGAAGGCTAGACCCCCAATCTCCAAATGCTGCCCCAAATAACATCTTATGTCCGAAAGGGAGAAAGCAGGTGCTGATTGATGAATAGAGCAAGCATTCAGTAAACCGAGTCTACCTTATCGGCGTCCATGTCCTTGGTGAACTTGGTCGGCTTCACGGCCCTCTTCCCTGCAAGAATCGAGCGACCAATCAAAACACGCAGGGCGACAGGGAAGCATCGAAGAGCACCAGAGAACGGCACGGAAGGACGGACGGAGGCGCCGGTAGATCTTTGCGGCGGGGGTACCTTTGCGGACGTGGGGCGCCTTGCCATGGCGGTTGGGAGGGATGGTCTTCTTCTTCCCCTGCCCCTTGAACTGGCTCTGCTTCTGCGTCATCTCCAATCCGCCGCGAAGCTTAGCCCTCACGCTGCTGGGGTTTCCGCTAGCCCCTCTCGCTCGCGATCGAGCTGCGGCTGCGGCAACGGCGGTGGGTCGGGGATGTGTGGTGCGGCCGCCGGCGGCTAGGGTTTGGGAATTGGGATGGCCTTCCCAGAGACTGAATTGGGGCTGTATTAATGGGCCCTAATCGGGCTGTATAATTTCGGCCCGAGAAATATGCAAGTTCACTTTAGGTCCCTTATGTTCAACTTGTAAAAGCGGTGATTATCGATGTCTCGAGTCCAGTTTTAACTGATGTGACAAGTGGGATCTACGTGGGCCCTACATGTTAGGGCTAGATGGGGGACCTAGTATTGGTCCGGAAACAATTCGGCCCGTATTTATTATTGAGTACATCTTCAAGAGTACTCCCTTCGTCCTAAAAAAAACAAACGTTTGAGTGTCCGTCTTATATGAAATTTTTTTATAATTAATATTTTCATTGTTATTAGATGATAAAATATGATTAATACTTTATGCGTGACTTATTTTTTTAATTTTTTTATAATTTTTTTAAATAAGACAGACGGTGAAACGTTGAACATTTTTTTGGACGGAGGGAGTACTCCATATCACTGGAGTATGTCCAGTTCGGAGCGGAACACCATCGTGGTGTTCATCCGTGACGCACCACGCGACCGCGTTCACACTGTCCATTCTCGAGCATGGCAGGCACGGCACACAGCACGATGCCTCCCTAGCTCGACACGTACAGCGCGCGCCAGCAACATCAGATGCTGCTGCTTGTTCGGGAGGAGCCCCGGCATCCGCTCCTTGGCATCGTCGTTGATGAGCCTAGCCAGGTCGTCGACGATGTCGCCGCTCGCCACCGCGTGCCGGCCGTGGAGGCCACCACCTGCCGCGTGATGCGGTTGCCATAGTACCCGTCCTTAGCTCCGACATGGTTCCGCACGTTGGCCGTGAACACGAACGGGGGCGCGGGAGCGGCGGTGACACCTCCGCCGTGGCCGTGGATGGCTAGCTCGGGTGCAACACTGCCATATCGCGGCGGAGACCACGTCGAACATAGAGCAGGCGGCGGCGGTAGCGGTTGACGAAGCTCCACGGAATTATTATGTCGCAGAAGGCGAAGTCGACGTGCTTCGAGCTGGCTAGCGACCACGACGTTGTCGTGGCACCGTCCAGTTAGTTGCAGGGATGTCAGGTAGGGGGCTCATCGTACCTAATTGGAGCAACGGATCAGTTACCGTACGTCATGGCATGCATCCTGCAGAATGGTCGTTGCAGGAATGTTCGCGCAACGTACAGCCATTCTGGCCCAAGTGTCCTCCCATCGTTAGTGCCGTCGTGGTCACCGTCCACTATAGATCGCCATAAGAGTTGAGGGAGGACAAATAGACTTATTGTATGGAGAAGCACGATGGGCTATCGTGTCTTCGGGACGGGCTGGCATGGCCTGAGTCTTATTGGGTCGTGCCTGGGCCGTGTATGTAGCCCGTGGGCTGGAATGGCATGGCCAGGCCGTGTAGGTCGAGTCGTGCCGGTCCAACTGAACTCGGCCTAGGCCCGACCATGCCTGGGTCATGCCGGACTGGGCGGCCCATTTGGCCATCTATACCGCCCACCGTAGATCTCCTCACCAGCTCCTTCATGGTCACGCCTTCTCCACTTGTGCGGCAGCTAGCGGTGGGCACGAGGCTTCCTTCACGGTGGCCGTCGTCTTGACAGTGGAGACAAAGACGCTGAGGCAATGGCGCGGCGCTCGATCGAGCGGTTTTCCATGATGAGCGAGTTGCGGCTGTCGACAACCGCCTCGTGCCGGAGCACCTCGTCCCCGCCTGCTACGACGACGCGTGGTCGACGCTACGGTAGGCTATTGCCACCACCGCCGAGCCACGGACGCCGACTCATGGTGGTGAGTCTTCGTGCTCAGACATAACGTCATTGAGAGAGATTAAAACGAGAAGAGAGAGGAAGAAAGAGAGAGGGGGAAGAGGAGTCCCTACATATGGATCCCACCTGCCACGTCAGTAAAAACCATTCTCCAAACCATGAAAAAACTTGATTTGTACCGGTTTTTGAAGATGAGGGAGGTGTTATACCCGTTTTACGGTTGAGGGTGCGATACAATTAGCAGCAAGAGATGAGGACAAAGTAGATTTATTCCAAGTAATAATACGGGTGGTGGGCAACGTGAAAACATCCTTCCTTAGCCAAGTAGGCAGACATGGAAAATACTATCTAAACTCTGGTTTTGGAGTAGATTGAAAAAGGCCTGACGTGGCTAAGCGGATTAAAACAGATTTTAGTGCACGCAAGTGGGATGACTAACGAAAACAAATAACCGGAAACCTTATGTATTTTTTTTGTTAGGTATATAGATATATAAATTTAGATGACATGCAATAAATAAGACTATAAGAGGATATCGCCACCAGAAATAATAACACTTTCCCATGTCAAAAGAGAGAAGCTGCTTTACTATTTGCTGCTATGCTTTAACCGTGCTGCACTTCCATCATCGATGACAATGACAATTGACAAAGCAGGAAATTTCTTTTCCTTCAGTTAATATAGACCATACTACAGTGCAATTTCTATCTTGGACAATCTTTTGCACGCCACTACCATAGTAGATCAAATGTGTTATATATATACCACTGGTGGAGAAATCTTTTTTACTCCCGGTTGGTAACCCCTTTATAGTCCTGGTTTTCCAACCGGGAGTAAGAATTCGAGACTAAATATCGCTATTTTTAGTCCCGGTTCAAATACTCGGGGACTAAAGATCGATCTTTAGTCCCAATGTGGTCTCGGCTGGAGGTTTTTTTTCTCTCTTTCTTTTTCATTGTTTTTTTGTTATTTGCGGAAATCATTTTAGATCAAACATTCACAGCAATATAGTTCATCCCAAATCATTCACAGCAATAGTTCATCCCAAATCATTCACAAGCAATAGTTTCATCCCAAATCATTCACACAATAGTTCATCTCCAAATCATTCACTCAATAGTCATCCCCAAATCATTCACAATAACAACACAGATCGAATCACACATTCAATACAGATCGAATCACACATTAAGGAAAAAAGAAAAAAAATCCACGCAGTAGCACCGGCCTCCACTGCTTGCCGCCGCCCGGTCGCCGCTGCACGAGGCCGCCTCCGCCTCCGCGCGGCCGCCGCCGCGCGAGGGCGCAGCCACCGCCGCCTGTGAATGGGAGGAGAGGGGAGGAAGAGAATGAGGAGACGAGGAGGAAGAGGAAGAGATGGGGTGAAGAGGAGGAAGAGATAAGGTGAGGGAGGAGATAGAACTTATTAACTGATCCCGCCTCCTCCTCCTCGATCTTGCACATGTCTCGTCCTCTCCGCCGCGTATGCCGATCTTTTTTCCCGGTTGATGTTACCAACCAGGACAAGAAATAGACTAACCGGGACTAAAGATAATAGAGAAGGTGTGACATAGTCTGTTGTTCTTTGAACCGGGACTAGAAATGATCTTTAGTCCCGGTTGGTGTTCCCAACCAGGACTAAAGATAAAAAAAATAGCTCTAACCTTTTGAACCAGGACTAAAGATAATTTTTAGTTTCGGTTTTTATTGTAACCAGGACTATTGTGAAATTTGGTCGACCGATCAAAGATGGTTTCTCCTTACATTGTAGGTGCGCTTGCACATACTTTTTTTATGGATACATATGTATAGGTACCACTAGTTTTTACGTTTTAGAAAACATGAGATAGATGATGTTATTCTTCTGACCTCTAGTCTGCAATCGAAGCTCAGTTTGAATTCAAACCGAAGTATAGTAATTCCGTATTTTTCTCTGAACTAGAAAAAAATGCTCGTGCATTGCAACGGAAAAAACATGAGAACTTTAAGGAAAGGTTGGGAAAGATTTAGGGCATGTTCACTTTGATGCCATTTTCAACCTTACCAAATTTTGGTAAAGTTGCCAAAAAAGTGGCTACATTTAGTTTGATGCTAAATTTTGGTAACTATATAAAAAATCATGCCAAAATGTTGGCAAGTTGCTAAAATTTTGGCAACTATGCCAAAATTTTGGTAATGCCAAAATTTGGTAAGGTTTTTTTTGGCATCAAAGTGAATAGGCCCTTACATTATGTAATTAATTAAATTATAAAATCGCAACTATGCATGTATACGATGTTAAAGAAAAGAAAGGCTCGTAAAAATCAAGGTAAATGTGGAAAATAAAATTTCCCAAATAAACTATGGCTAGATTTAATTTTTATTCAATTTTCCATGATTAATTATACTATGTGAAATTTTTTCGGTATTTTCAAAGCTCCATTACTAATTTTAATAATACAAAAATCATTTTAGCATTTATTTAAATGAAAATCTAAATGAAAACCCTCCTTTCTCCCAGGGCCATTTTCAGCCCATTCTTTCATTAGCCCGTAGCCGGCTCAGCCCGTTAACCTCACTTCTCCTCCCTTCCACCTCAGCCTGCAAGCGTGCATCCGACCCATCAAGCAACCACAAAGTCTAATTAGCATCCCTTGTCCTCCTCTCACTATCGCGTGGGTCCCAGTGCTACAGTGTCGTCCCCTACCTCCGTCCGACTCTGCACCTTCCCAACACCGCCACCTCTGTGAAATCAGTCCGCATCCACAGAGATAATCCAAAATTAATTGAAGAGTTTTGATCCTTATCTTCTTCTATCTTCGTTCTTTCTAAGAATTAGAGCAAAATCACATCGTATCAACCTCGGAATCAAGCTATACGGTAAACAAGTTGTCCGTTTCGCGTACGGGGAGGGAATCGGACTACGCGCCCATTATACTAGGACGACGTACGAAAATACTTGGCAAAAACATCTTAAACTTTTATAATAGGTAAAGATAAAAGATAAGGATGTGAGCATCACCGGCAGTCATCCTATTTCATTTCCAAAATTGATTTTGAGGTTTTTTAGCGAAAAAAATCGGATCCAACAAATCCCAAAAGCTCTACACTAGTTTTGGAGTTCCCATTTCCATATATTTGGCTACGTGTATTTGAGATAGTTTTGGAGTTCCCATCCCTATGTACTCCCTCCTTCCCTAAATGTTTGATGCCGTTGTCTTTTTAAAACATGTTTGACTGTTCGTCTCATTCTAAAACTTTTGTAAAATATGTAAAACTATATATAT